AGAGAGAGAGACATTTGTAAACTCAAAACTTGCCAAGTGACGAATAAGGAAGGAGGGAAGGTTAGGTGCTGTCTTGTCCCCCACCATTCAATCATCGAATTGGACTGCAAAAAACTTGTATTATTGCCTCTGATATAATTTGGCCTCGTGACTTTGATCAATACCTGATAACACATTCCAAATGGTCTAATGACTTAACTAGCCATGTTCCTATTAAAATATTGACATGATACATTGCTCCAAGTGGAGTTGGTTGAAGCATTCTTGTTACTCCCTCTGTTCTCATATACAAGGCACTCTTTTGAAGGTTTAGGCAGCATTAAATAGTTTTTCCCCCCGAAATTAAGATAGTAGAAAAAGAGATATCTTTTGTTAAAAAATACTATAGGATATCTTTAGTTTTTAATGTGTAACTACTGAATTTCTTTTTAAAAATACTCTTAATAAAAAATCACTTAATTTTTTACCTTTAAGTAAGACACCTTATTAAATAAAGACAAATTGGAAAAGATAGTATCAATTTAAAGTCAATTAACTAAATTATTAGGGGATGTAATTTAATTAAAATATTTTATATTTTTAAAAGGCAAGAGTATAATTAGATGAGGTTACAATTCAATGAGGATGGTTTTGGGAAGTACTGATAATTTTTGGACAGTTCATAAATTTCAACTAATTTTAAGTATGCATAAAGCGATTAAAATTGAATTTACATATAGAGATGAAGTAAATGAAAAATCATTTCCAAGAAGAAGCAGATTCCGTCGACTTGACAAGCAAAAACATTCCCATTCCTGAGTGATGAGCTTAAATTTTTCCAGCCAAATATTGGAGTAAAGGAATCTCATTCTCATTCCTATCTCTACGTTGCAGGATGCTGCCAAACCAAAATTATTCGTGCACAGGTTCCCACATAGTTCGGCAAGATGATGCAAACAGGGGCATGAGGTCTTTGAAAACAGCTCGGACGAGTTCCTATAACAATTTTTAGAACTCCTTCTGCCTCAATGTATCAAACGTTTTTTCATAAAATTACGAATACTTATGACGTCAATTAAATGCAATTTAAAATATTAAATTCATTAAAATGAGGAAGAGAAAATGAAAGATATTTAATGAGAGAAATAATGAGAAATAATTTTAGAATAAATCACCGAATCCTCAAAAGTTTTTTTTCCGGGTTTGACTAATTTAGAATAAATCACCGAATTCCTCAAAAGTTTTTTTTTTTTTTCCGGGGGGGGGGGGGGGTTGACTATGTTACATAGAGTAGTGTTGCTTTGCCTTGCCATAGATATTGAGAGCTTCCATGAATGCTAGTGCTCCACCGACCACCATATCAGGAAGTGCAAGGGTAAGTTGGTCGTTCCGCGAGTTGAGAAAAGCTACACAGACAGAAATCCCCAACAAAGTCAACAAACGCGAGTGCTTTCTGTTTTTTTCCTCTCAGTTTCATTATCTCGCTCAGTTCTCCATATTCAAAAACTACTTGTCTCTAACAGTCTCTTCAGCAGCCAAGAAACGCATGACGCTGGATACTTCAAGCAAAGCTATAGGCAAGCCAAGGACTGTTCTGTTGCCTATAAGTTTCAAGCTGGTTCACTCTTCCGAATCTTAAACTAGAGAAGACAATGAGACTCGGAATCACGAAGGAAGCTATGAGCACCAAACCACGCCTTTCTTACCCATGAAAGTCATCTTTCCTGGTACAACTCTCGAAGTCTCAGTTTTAACCATAATTTGTTTACCTGTTCATAGACTAACAACCAGAAAAGGGAAGCACTACTGTCTTCGTATCTGCAGGAATAATTATAAAATATCACATGTTAATCATACTTCCAATAGATATCTTTCTTCTTTAGTTCAAATCCTCCACTTGCAGGGCCAAGTATGGATGTCTCAGGTTACAATCGAATCTCTGCAATCAGAGTTTGCCCTTCCCGTGGATTCTGATCACAAGGCCACAAGAATTCAGATTATTCACAGTGGCTAAGCCCCACATGCGTGCATTCCATCTATCTTGGATTTCCTCTTCTCATGCTTTATCTCCAGTTTTGCTGCGCCTCTCTCCTTCCAATCATCCGTGATAACCTCAACCTTACAGCCACAGACATTGGCAATGCTGGGATTGCGTCTGTTTCAGGAGCTGTTTTGCTCGAATTGCAATGGGACTGCCTGTGACTTAGGTGGCCCCCGTCTTGCCTCTGCTTCTATCATTCTCCTCACAGTACCAGCTGTCTTCTTCACTTCCACAATCTCATCAGCTACCTCCTTCCTTCTTGTGCGATTCTTGACAGGTTTCTCCTTAGCCACCTTTGTCTCAGCCCAGTTCTGGATGAGCTCCATGTTTTCTTCTCCCGTAGTTGGTTTTGCAAATTGGAGTAGCAGCTGGATGGGGAAACCTTGGAGGAGGAGCCACACCAACTCCTTATGCCCCTTGTTTTGCACTAATCCATAGTATAGGTGCTGTCAACTTCACAGCCTGGCGGAATTTCATTCTTCATTCCTGCAATGTTTCAAATGTTGACAGCATTTGCCATATTAATATTGGCCAGGATTTGCCAGATGGGAACTTCCATGGCCTGAAGAAATCAGGGGAAAGGCCAAAAGATGACTTCCCACAGGTGCTGTTTTATGGGATTACAACTACAGAGGGTGGATTCTAGCATTTACTTATGGATATTGCTTTGGAGTAGAGCTAACAATGGATAATATCATAGCTGATACTTCTATGACAGGATTTGATCTGAAACTCCATACCGCAGGAATAATCGCTGCAAGCTTCGGATTAGCCAATGTGGTTTCACGACCACACAGGGGCTATATATCAGATGCAATGGCAAAGAGTTTGGAATGAGAGGTAGGTTATGGGCCTTATGGCTGTGTCAACCTTAGGAGGTTATTCTGTATAATCCTTGGCAAAGTCGGATCT